CAAAATGCCATGGATTAGTTCAGTATACCTTGGCCTCCTCAGAGAATGAATCATTTGGGACCCTACCAGCAATGGGGAGAAAAAGTTTTTACATTGGCCTAAAGTGACCTTTTTTGGTTATCAAGCACATTTCACTGCTGAAACCATACTTAGCACTCTGTTAGGCATGGCAAAGTATCAGTCCTTTAAATATAATGGCAGGGTCTTTGATCTATCTTTTTTGCCAAAGAGAAATACATAAATGAAGAGAAAAAATTAGTGAGAGCTGAAGAAGCATGGACAGCTAAGTTTTAAACAGCTCCAGTCATCTTCCAATGGAAAAAAAGATGAAATAACTGGACATCTGTAAGGTGCAGCGCTGGTCTACCTAAAAATATCTGTTCACCCATTGGCACATTCGAGCTTATGGAAAGGTAAAATTAGAAATGACTTCAGGGAAGAAGTGTGAGGTTCTAAAAGGAAGGTAAACTGAACATAGGTCTTAAGAAGTAAACATTTAAACCCTTCTGTTGCACATAAGAGGCAGAACAACATATTAGTCAAGAACACAGTTCAAAGAAAGATTACCTGAGCTTGAGTCCAGTTTCTGTCTCTTAGTAACTGTGTCATCTTGGGCAAATCATTTAAATTCTATGGGCCTCAGTTTTACTCATTTATACAGTTGTCTAAGGATAAATATTGTAATACAAGGTTTCAGGAATATAAGAAATACAACTCTAATAAATAATAACTTATAGCTATTATTAGTAATAACATCAGTACAGAAAACTACTCCCACTTCTTCATATCAAGTCCAGTGTATTTAGGTATAATTCAGAAAAGTTGAATGAAAAGAATAGATTACAGTCAATTGAAAATGATACATCCTGATGAACGTTCTTAATATAACTTTTTAAGTGCCTTAACTATCACCAGTTGAAGTTATTTAAATAGAAGTCTATTAGACTTTTGGTATAAAGGACTTGTCTTTAATGGAAAATATCTATTTCATCCTCAGTATTAAACCCAGTGACCCTGGCTAGAGTATTTCTCCCAGAAGCTTCTGCTGTGTGCTGAGCATCGAATAAAGATGTAGATTGGTGGAAAATTTATTTCAGATATGATACATTGGAGGCATAGCTATGTGTGGAAGAGAGCCATGAAAAATGCAAGCTCAACTTTCCCCTTGAACTCGTAGTAATTTATCTGAGAAACATGTTGAGTTCCCTGAACTGTAGGTAAGTAACTTGCTCTCAGCATCTTTAAATCTTCTATGCGGAGCAAGCTGTTGCTGTGCCTCGTGCCCTTAGCACTATGCTCCCTGGCTTGGAATTGCAAACGTTACCCTGCTTGCTGCACAGAGAGGAGGATCTGAAATACGATTTGCCTAGGCAAAAGTCTCTGGGGGAAAATACCTTGTGGATGAGGGAAAAAATTACAAGTAAGCTGGAATCCCTCCATTAAGGGAAAACAGTCTGAGAGATACCAGAGGGAAAAAAAATCACTTATTCACTCATACAAACAGCACTTGACTACTTTTTATTCATTTATGCTACATGTAATTACTAAGTCCCTGCCTTGTGGATGTGGTGTTCTTGGCACTGGGACTATGCTGGTGAACACAGTAGAATTGCTCTGCTCCTGGAGCTGATCCGCTTTATAACATACACTGTAATAGGTACACAGGTGAAAGAGAGCCAGTTCTTTTCATAAGGTATACTGAATGAAGAGACTGAAGGGAAAATGCCAACAAAACTTGACATTATTAGGGGTATAGGGATACTGTGATCTCTGAAGGTCAGAGAGGGTTTCCTGGGGAAAATATCTTTCAAATCATTGGTCATTCTAGGAAGAAGGAAGCTTTGACCAAGGCATAGAGAGGAGAGAAGGAACTGACAGTAGCTCTGCATGGCTGCATGGCCAAATGGTGTCTCTAGGGTGACATGTGAAGAGCAGATAATGAAGAGTCTTGGGACCCATGTTACAGAGTTTTATATTTTATTCTAGGACACTTAGAAGGTAATGATGTATGTTGAGTAAGGAGTATCATGAGCATATTTCAGTTGTTAATACAAAGGATAAATTGGAACCCAGAGAATGGATTGGCAGCAAGGACTCCAGGAGGGAGGCTATTTCAGGACTACACAGATGTAATCTCAACAAAGACAGTGATCATGGGGCTGGAAGGAATTGGATGGATTTGAGCAATGTTAAGGAACTGATTGCTGGTAGTGGGTGGTGAAGGAGAGGGTGGAATAATAGTCGACTCCTGGGTTTCTAGTGTGGGAAACTGCAAGAAAGATGATGTCATTCACTAAGAGACGGAGGTGGAGGAACAAATTCAGGATAAGGAGCTATGATTAGTTCAGTTTTGAACCTATTAAGTTTGCCATGTTTGTGAGACACTTAACTGGCGATGTTCAGTAGACAATTGAGTGTGGAACCTGGAGGTCAGGAGGGAGATATGGGCCGAAGTTATTTGCGTATAGATGGTCAAACAATGGGAGTGGAACCCTGGAAAGCACTGGCATTGAGAAGAGTGAGCAGGGAGGGAGAGAAATCGGGATGTATGGAGTCACAAAAAAGAACGGAAGAGAATAGTCCAAGGAGAAGGAAGTAGTCAATGTCAAATATTGATAGAGTTCACCTACATTGAGTATGTGGAGATTTATCTATTAGATATAGCGGTGAAAATGTCATTCACTGCTAAGGTGACCATCTGTCGGGATTTTCTTGGAATTGTCCCAGTTTAAACTAGTTCCAACATCATTATTGTTAGTGCCTGTTAGTGCATACGTTTGAATAATAAATTCATCATTGTCATTGGAGAGAGCAGTTTCAGCCTGTCTTAGTTACTTTTCTTGTTACTGAGACAAAATACCAACGCCCACAAGTTAAGAGAGGAAAGGTTTATTTAGCTCGCCATTTACGGAGGTTTCAGTCCATCATTGGCTGGCTCCAAGGCCGGGCGGCATGGCAGAGGGGCATCACAGAGGAGAAACAGTTCATGGCAGGCAGAACGTAGCAAAGCAATAACGGAAAGGGGACGAGATGAGCCTCTTTCTGTTCCTTATATTGTACCCAGGCTACTGAGATTAGAGCAATGCTAAACCAATCAGTGGACTGACTTAATTTTCACCCACTCTTAATCCTAGCATCCTTAATCCTAGCACTGGATCATGAATCAGTCATACACTAGATTCAGCTACCTCTGAAAAAGCCCCATCTATGAGGCTTTGGGGGGCATCTAGACACAAACCATGACACAGCCCATGTGAAAGACAGACTGGAGTGGATATAGAGATGAACTGTAGGAGGGAGGCACCAGATGAGGCAGCTTTTGGAGACTGTATGGTGAAGCTATCAGAGAAGGAATTTCAATATTGGCTGGATATTGAACTAAATAAACTTTGAAGTTTCCTCCAGTCCTGGGCACAGTTCATAGCTCTGTATTTCTATGCTATATGGAGCCTTAAAAATCAATGCGCAGCAACACTGTTCTGTTTCGTGAGTCACACATTGTGGAGCTAGCGGTTATTATATTAAAAAGCAAATATTTTATAAATAAATTTATTTTTATTATTCCATTTTCTTGAAAATGAATAATAGTTACTCAAAGTGATCTTCATCTGTCCCATATCATAAAATAGAAACGTATGGTCTTAAACTAAGCAGAAAGACTCATTTTGTCTTTAAATTATTTTGTATAATGAAGCATCAATAATAATAATTAGGTTGAGGATGAAAACTCTGCCTCTAAGCAAGATAGGAAAAGTACACATTCCAAGTTTATTCATACCTGATATGTCTTTTTGTGTTTGTGTGCTATGAACTGAACCCAAGGTCTTGAACATGCTAGGCAAGTTCTCTGAACTATACTCCCTGGCCATTTCAAAAATTTTATTTTGTGACAGGATATCACTACAGTTTCCAGGCTAGACTTGAATTTCTGATCCTCCTGCCTCAGTCTGTTAGTAGCTGGGAATATAGGTGTGCACCACCATGCAAAGCTACTAAGTCTTTTGATTTTTAGAACTTGCAGGATAGGACCAAGCAAATGTTTGTGAGAGTTTAAGCATTTATACTTAAAATAAGAAAAATGTAAATAATATGTGTGTTTCTGTCTATACCATTTAGGTGAAAAAGTCATTGGGAATATATCTGAAAGGGTTAGAACACTCAGCTATTATCATACATAAAACAGTATCTCAGGACAACAGAAAAGCGATATAAAATGGAAATGATTCTTTGAGCCTGTACAGCTATTGGGTTAAATGGAAAGCCAATCAAGAACTTGGAGTTTGTTTGGCCTCCTTGAAGAAAGGTGGCAAATGCCAATGATAAAGAACTTGGGAACTGTCCAAATGTGGGCCGTCTTTGTCATTGCTTATTGAATTTGATTATCGAAGGTCAAGCTTCCAGCCCCAAGCCTGTGCTACCTCCCCCGTCTCCACAGTTGGCGGACTGCTTTGAGTAATTAGGCACCTATGGGGTGAGCGTGGCTTTTAACAGTCCTTTTTTATTTTTAAGACAAGCAAATAAATACTTTTAAAAAGGCGGGGGAAGGGATACTTCTGTGACAAATACTTCTATTTGAGAAAGGAGGCTAATGGGAACCAATAAATTGTACAGCAGCCATAATTTTTCTGCCACATCTAGACCTGTGAATAGCCCCATAAAGTATGCTATAACATAGAAAGATCTTTCTGTCCTTTTACTGTTTCTGAGGGTCATTAATAAAAGAGCACTCTATTGCTAATCTGACCCCACACCATTATGTAAACTAGTCAATATAACTAAGAAGATCCCAAACATATTTCACACACTTACATATTAAACATTCAAGTTGTTGAAGACCAAACACCACATTTAGAAGATTACTTGCCATTTATCCTTTGAATCCCTATGAATCAGACTCATAGTCCACTGTATCTGCTTTTCTATATAGGCTCCAATTGATTTGTCCAGACTTTCTTTGTATCATCTCTGTTTTGTTTCTCTTGTGTGCATTTGTTTTTCAGTGAGCAATGGCCTCGATTTTGCTTGTGTTTGGAATGGTCACCACCACATAGGGCCTGAATGTCCTACTGCTTTCCAGGAACAGAAAGAAGACCCCATATTTGTCTGTTTCAGTGGAAGTCTGGTAGTAGGAAAACTGTTGCATTGGCCACGATTTCAGCACACTGTCAGGTGAATGGGACCAGTCTTTCTTCTTCCAAAGCATCAGAAATTGAGCACTTGGAAAGGAGATTTGGCCAAGATGACCCATTTGCAGGCGGGACTCAGTCCAGATACTATAGAGAAAGCACGCCTGGAACTGAATGAAAACCCGGATGTTTTACATCAGGATATTCAGCAAGTCAGGGACATGATCATCACCAGGCCTGACATTGGATTTTTACGTACAGATGATGCTTTCATCTTGAGATTTCTCCGAGCCAGGAAGTTTCATCAAGCGGATGCATTTAGACTCCTGGCCCAGTACTTCCAGTACCGCCAGCTAAATCTGGACATGTTCAAAAACTTCAAGGCAGATGATCCTGGCATTAAGAGGGCTTTGATTGATGGGTTCCCTGGAGTGCTGGAAAACCGTGACCATTATGGCAGGAAGATTCTTCTGCTGTTTGCTGCCAATTGGGATCAGAGTAGGTAAATGTAGATATAGTGTCTTTACTTGGTTTTTCTTTTTCATGGCATCATCACTGCATGTGTGGGGTTGTATGACTTTACAGGTAATGAGCTTTCATTTTAAAAAATATACTCCACACACCCACAAAGGAGGTTTTAAGGCCACAGGTATTCTGTCACCAAAAGGTAAGCCTAGCTGCTCAGTGATTTTTTTTTTTTGGTACCAGGAATCGAACTTGGCACCTTGTGCTTTCAAGGCAGGTGGCGGAACCACTGAGCTAAATCCCCAGCCCCTTGCTCAGTGATTTTTGAAACAATAGAATTATGGTATTAAATTTGTGAGAGACCTTAGAAGTCAGTATTCTGTCCAATAAATTTGGTCATTCTTATTTATTTATTTATTTATTTATTTATTTATATTTATTGGTACTGGGGATTGAACTCTGGTCCTTGCATTTGCAAGGTAGGTGCAGGAACCACTGAGCTAAATCCCCAGCCCTGGTCATTCATTTTTTAATAAAATTCAAAGTTGATCTTCTGGAAGATCCATATATTCTGCCTTTTGTGTTCTCATCTTTAATGACAGCAACAAAAAATGGATTTAGTAAATGACCTTAAATCAAGAGTTTTCAACACATAAAGTCATCTCTTGGATGCTCTGCATGACTATTTCTCTTGAATACTGAGTGACAGATCTTTCTATCCAAATACCTATTACATTTCTTTCTATCCAAATACCTGTTAGACATTTCTCCTTGAAAGTCCTATAAAGAGCTAGAAATTCTACATGCCCCAGACTTAAAGGCTCTTCCCCCTCTACACCTGCTATTCTATCACTTAGTCTCTCAAGCCAGAATCTGAAAGTCCTTCTTGATTGCTCCTTGCTTTGGTCTTCACATCTAATTAATTTCCAAATCTTATCCCTTCCTTCTTAGAAACTTTTCAAATTTATTCTTCTTTTCAAATCTATTCTCTTTGTTTCTGTTGCACTTGGCTTAGTTTAGGTTCTCATTGTTTCTCAACTATGTGTCTGTAACTATCTGCTAAGTGGCATCTGCCTCTGGTCTCTTCTGAATCAAGGTGACTCCTCCACAATTCTGTTACGTCACTCCTCTGATTTAGGTTCTTCAATGACCTGCATTTCCTTCAAAGTAAGTAATTTGCCTTCTGAACTTCCTGCTTTGCTTCATTCCTTGTCTTCTATTCTTTGGTCTAGCTGGTTAAAAGTCTAAGCTTGCCTTGAATAGCTGAGGTACTAACATGTCTCCCACCCTTTGGACTCTCTCCCAGTCTGTCTTATCCCAAGTCCAACCCTCCTGTACCCAATCTGCCTCCTGATTCACACCAATTTCATGATCCTCCAGGAAAATAGCTTTCATCTACTCCACCCCAACCCTGTGTTAATTAGGTCTCTCTTCTCTGTGCATATTTGTATTAAACTTCTATAATAGGAGTATATGGATAATTCTTAACATAGATGATATTTTTGAATTCCTACCACAGACTTTGGTATTTGTATAATTTAATTCACTACAAAACTTGGTATGCTACATGTTACTATAACCTCTATTTTATATTTGATGATACAGGCTTTGAGATCTTAAAGGATTCACTCAGTGTCACACAGCTGGTGAAACACAGAGTGGGAGGTGAGCCCTGGGAGCCTAACTTAAGAACCAGTTGCTGTAATCCAGCTTTCTTGTGATTGTGTGTTTATCTCGTGCATTGTCACCCACTCCTTCCAAGTGTGGTTTCCTTGAAGATAGGGCATATGGCACAATATTCAATCAATGTCATATAAAAATATGAATGAACCCATCTCCAAAATATTCATCATGACTTGAGCTTTCACAGAGATATCTTCATTGAAATTTTCATGTTTCTTTGAAAGACATTGGCTGTTGTAAAAATCAAAATATCAAAGTACATTTCCAATGCCATTAAAAAGTATTTCTAGCATAGTTCCTCAATGCCTCATATCACTCTTTGTCCTCTTAAAAATAATAGTAGTGTGCAACAACTTCACACCCATTGGCTATTGTTCTGGTTGACACACTGGGGAGGGCGATGTAACTCTGGAAATGTATTGAATATTTTAACACTATCAGTCTAAAGTTTAATGAGGTCTGCACCTGGACCAATAATTATGATATGAAATAACATGTTTATCATGTGTCACACAATTTACATGATTTATGATGAGCTTCTCATTAAATTGCTTCATTGATGAGAATGATTTCTGGGGCCTTATATTCATCCATCTACGTTGTTCAATCAATGAACATTCGGCAAGTGTAGACTTTGTGCCAGGGCTTGTACTAAGGCAAATAGGACACCAAAGAGAGCACATGGTCTTTGTCAATGAGGACCCCACTGTGTGTAGCTCATTGCTTAACAATGGTGCAGATATGTAAATAGCTAGCCCCCACCTACCACAGGGTAATTCTTTCTGAGTCACACAAACCATAGGCAGAGGACATCAGTGTTAAACTAGGGGGAATAGATGTCCTCTTGTGAACGGGACATTAACATTTTGGATTTTGAAACTGGAAGATTTTGATGATTCTGGAGAATAATCATACTGACATCATCATTTGTGCTATACTGTTGCTAGTGTTCTAGAACTTCCATCTGTTAAGACAGATGATTCAGGGAACATCTCTTTATGCTGTATACATAAAGATATGAACCATAGTAAAATATTTCATTTTGTATTAGAACTTGGTCTGTACTTATATCCCAGAATGTGTCATAAAGAAGTAACAAATCTCAGAGGAAACAATCTCAATGTTTATGATCATGACAACCTTGAGCAAGTTACTAATTTCTCTGTTCCTCAGTTTCCTCAAATGTAAAATAAGAAACTTGAACTACATGACCCCTAAGATACCTTCCAGCTCTAATGACTCATGATTGTGAAGCTCATTCAGCCTCATCCAATGGATAGAAAGGGATTTTAAGATTCAATTAATAGCTTCCTAGTGCACTAGCTTTTTGAAGTAATATCTTTCTCTCTCTCTCTCTCTTTCTTCCACTCCAATCTTCTTTAAACTATAAAATATTTTTCCCAAAGCATTTTGTTTTTAACAACAAGGTGGGAATGATAAGGCTATCCCATTGACAGAAAACATCATGAGATGAAAACAAACTTCACTTTGAATTTGGATATTATCATGTCATTTACTGATCATATGACCAGGGACAGGCAACCTCTCCAAAACTTAGTTTTCTTCTCTGTAAGATGGGGATGATGATGATGTCTATATATGGCTGGGAGCATTGAGTGAAACAATTCATTGAAAGTCATGGTTTGGCACATAGTAAGCATTCAATAGACATTAGCTTTTGGTATTATTACTAATATTTTAAAATGTCCCACTAAAAAATTAATAGAGCACAGAGAGTAAGGAAATTAGAACCTGAGACAAGACTACAATATTTGAATATTAGAGTGGGCAACGAGTGCTATTTGCCCACCAGCTTGTCCTAAACATGTTTGTCTCTCCTCAGACATATTTCTTACTGCCAAGGCCCAGCCCCAGTGGGGCTCATAAGGCCTGGAAGACTTGGTACAACTTTGCAAAGTGATTGCCTCACTGTCACTGGGGGCTTCAAGACTACTGGGAGGCAATTTGAATATCTCAGTCAAAGGGTTACTGAGATTAAAATAGCTATTAATATTTATTAAAGTGATGTAAATCTCATTCATTTAGACCCAAACATATGAACAAAAGCACAGAACAGCGTGCAGTGGGGAGCACTATCTCCAAAGCTGTGTGCACGCTTTGGCTGCACGGGTTGGGGGTGTCAGCCAAGGAGGCCTAGGCAGCACTTGGGGTTCTGGAGAACGACTGGCCTTGTGCAGAGTTTGAGCCTCACCAGAAAGCTGTCTGGCTTCTGCATTTTCTGCGGCTGCCAAGCTGAACTCATTTGAGTTACATAAAATAAGCACCCACATATTCACTCATAATATGAGCACTGGCCCCTCGCAGAATCAGCAGAATTTATTATATTCCAACTCACCAGCTTGGTATTAAGCTGGGATCTACAGGGAGGCTATTGCTCAATGTGTCTTTTGATCTTTCTCACCTACATTCATGTCAACACTGCCAAGAATTCATAATTTGCCCCTTTAAGATCTGATCTCAGCTAAGTCCATTTCTTGTTTCTTTCTGAGCTGCAGACTTGCAATTGATCATTCAGTCTGATCTGTCAAGAATGCCTGACTGTTGCATAGGGAAACAGGAGCATAGATGGGCCTGTGTATTTTTTCCAGATTTCACTCAAAGAAGAGTAAATCTTGGTCAAATTGTTTTATTATTTGAAGAGTGAATTCATCAAGTTTAAAAAGGTAAAATACCAGGCCTCTTGAGCTCTTTTAAGGATTAATCTCAATTATTCTTGTTGGTGGTATCCAACAGGTAAAATAGAATAGTGATTAGGTGCACAAACTCTGAAGCCAGATGGGCAGCCTTAAATCTCTGCAGCCTTCTAACTAGCCAAGTGCCTGAACAAGTTGCTGAAATCTGTATGACCCTCAGTTTCTTACCTATTAAGTGAGGGTGATGATGATCTTAAGTTTGTACTAATTGGTCCTTAATTAATAGTAGTTTTTCCTTAAGGAAAAAAATAAATAAAATCAGGCAAATATTGAGAATCCTGGATCAATCACAACATGTACTTTCTAGTGAGAGCAGCATTTGATACTATTACAAACTTTCTTCTACCTGGAAAACTATTAAAATATATATAATTGGGACTTCAAGCTACCTTGCTCCATAGTGCTCTGTGATAGTTCATTTGGGAGACTCTGAGAAGTCACCTAGTCTTTGTGGTAACTTGTTCCTTATAGCCTAAGGATATAAGAAAAGCATTTTGGGAGATTCAGATCATAAAAGCCTCACAGTACACCACAATAGTATCCATTAATGCTATGTGTAGAACATCTGGCCCTGAGTTCTCTGATAGGGAAAAATATCATTGGAAATGTGCTGCAAGTCATACTATACAGAGTTACAGTG